GGGGAATTTCTGAAAGGGGGGGGCATTTCATCGAATTAGTTGGGATTATTCTTCCGGGTCTTCCTTCAAATCTGAAATAGGGGACCTCCATACGGAGTAGTCGAGTATCTATTCATCTAACTAGTAAATCTCCAGCAGTTGAAGGAATGTTCATGGAAGGTTCAATGTAGGACAGGGTTCACTAGACACTTACATAGTACATAATCTCTACCGTTGACATTTGACATCTGCCGACTTTCATCTCCTTGCCCACGGGGCAAAGTCCGACAGTGCATGAATCGCCGGTTAGTCCAGGTTGCATATCCACAAGGATTGGTACCAAAAATACGCGAATTGCTCTCTGCATGCCGAATGGCGGTCCATCTAAGCCTTGCACGAGTCGACCCTCCTCCCCTTTCCCAAGACTATCTACTTAAACGGGTAGGAAAGAGGAGAATGAATGCTCTGCTTGCAGATCATGGTCATAGCTAGATAACGTCTACATTACGGTTCACCATGTCTGTCTCCTGCAGAATCGAGTATCGAATCCGGGATAGATGGGGACTCCGACGGACTTCGAGATTAATTCCACATCTACTCCATACTGCATGTTGCTTCGATCAACAGTTTGTCCCGTTCATAATGAGATACACCCTTTTTCAGGGACCGTGAAGGCATAAATCCGTTATTTGTTGTGCCAGGTTATTGGATTTTTCCGATTTTGCCTTGCAAAAAGATATCGGAATAGGTGATGACGAATATCTAGTGGATTAGTTACCCGCCGCATCCTTCGAGACTACTATTAGAGCCGTATCGTCTTTCAACCGTTCTCGCAAGATATGCATTGAGAAGTAAGCTCCAGCTCCAGCTTCATGCTGTGCATACCATGCAGCAACAATTCCTTGTGCAGATTTGCTAGGCGTTGAGCCGAAAGCCAAGCGGGGATGGATTATTGCGATGGCTGGGGCAAATGCAAGTCAGAGGTTATTCTCCATTCATTCCACTTGTTGGCCAAACATCGGAATTTACTGGGTGCTTAGTAACACGCTCACTTACTGCATCCAGTTGTATATCCGCAGGGAACAATGCTATTGTTTTCCTTTCCATTTGCTTTTGCTTCTTGTGGTTTGACCTATCTGCTGGGGGATGTGCCGGACCGGGTAGTATCTACCTTGCTCCTCAGGTTTCTCTAATTCTTTAATTCATTTGTGCGGCAGCGAGCCAACTCTTGTCCGCAAAGCGGCAGCGCCTACTGGTCATTTAATCTATAGCGTTGGAGACGGTAATATCCACCTACGTCAGGTTCCCGAATCTTATTGCCGGCTGCAGCTGCAAGAACTCATTCCTTTTTATCACGGCATAAGTTCGGCATGCTCATCCTCGGTGATGCATCACGATTACTACTTACTATCCAGGGCCGCCCCCGGCGAATTACTTCCGATTATTTTTGAGAAAGTGTCTCATCACAAAGGACAAAAAGTCCAAATTACGGGAGTTGCACCCCCAATGACTCGTGAGACTCGCAGGGGAGATGAATAGAATTAGATAGGTATGGTCAGTGTGCGTTGAAGCGGGTCTAACCTTCGGAAGGGAAATTGGTCACCACTTGTTGTCTAATTAGATGCCTATCGACTATCGACAGGAGGTCCAATACCAAGGCAGATATGGGGCGGGTATTGCTGCGTACGGCTTGTCCACCTGGAGAAAGGCGCTCCACTGGAGAGGAGGATCGCTCAACCTGTGCCTGACTAGCCCATCCGATGCCCCTCCGCCGGAAGGTCTTCATTTATCGGAATTATTAATGATATTGTCTAGTCGCATTCGTAATGGAGCTGCTGCGGCTTATTAATACCTGGTCAAGGCCAATTGTCCCCTGATGCCTTACGGAGTACGGATACTATCCGCAGCATGTTTGTTGTCCCCATCATTCTGCTTTGACGGCCTGGGCATGCAAGATGTACCATGGAACTCCAGTCCCTTTGTTGTTTCTGCCTACAATGAAGCTGCATGAAAGTATTTCAGCTGTTTTCACATACTTTCCTATATCCAGAATTTATTATTTTCATAATATTGCTCCACGGGCAATGGTATAATGCACCCACTTTCTCCTAACTTACATGTCCGTCCACTGCTATTCATTGGTTTTATTGGCAGTTCCGATCGTAACGACCCGCTGCATCATGATTTATAATTTTCATGCAGAGTGCCCTTTACATGCAGATTACTACTGCCTGCAGGCTAATAAAGCAATACATCGGCCCCTTTGCAGGAATACACATTGAATTTCTGCCTGGTGCAGCGCCTCATGTCCGAGCCGAGGCTGTGCCAAATCGACTAGTACCTAGTATGTAGTGCAGTTAAATAGTCCGCCTTACGGAGGACACCTTGTACTACTACTGCAATGTACCAAATTCACACAGCGGAGTTGGATGTCCGAGAAGCGCCAAGGTATAGATAGTAGTAGAGCAATCTAGACAAGGCTGGGTAGCGATCCTGATTTCAAATATAGACTTAGTAGAAGGTGACGGAACGGTTGTCTCTGGTCCCCCGGTTACAACTAATTTTCAAAGTGGTTTGATTCTGACACTTGAACAAATCTCGAACGTAGTATACTAGTAGCCGCCTGTGTCAATAATAGATATAGGCTCAACGCATGAACCAAACGAATCATGCACGTTAACCAAATCTCAATGCCGGCTATCAAGCAATCAATCACTGCGCATCAATGATACAGCCTGCCAGCCTTTCCTGCGAAGGACAAACAAACTCCGTCCTTCCAGAAGCAACTCCCCTCAGCGCTAATTAAAAACCTTAGCCCGTTCTATATATAGTCAAGGCTGACTTCAATGCCTACTACTATCAATCATCATGGACTCGAACCCGGTCCATCGACGATGAAACTTGAACCCTGCACACACTGTCTGGGGGATAAGCAGGCCTACTAGTAGTCTATTTCGCAGCATCTTCAGCCCGCTCGATGCATGTGGGTGTATCTGGAAGCTCCATGATCGTGCGTGATTCGTCCGCACCGGCATTGGCTTTTCTTCGTGGGCGGTTAATGCTGGGTACTTAGTATCTTGTCCGCAGCGGTTCGCGGCTAGATTGTGCCCTGTGTTTCTAATCATAGAATGTGACGGACTGGACTGTCTGTGCGCTTTGTGATAGAGGGGTAAGGGGGGTGCTTTGGTTGTTGATTGCTTGCCGGGTTTTTTTCAGGATAATAGTGATTGACTGGTTGATTTGTGTCTTTTGGGAGGATGGTCTTGATTTCTTCACGAGGACTGGTTGGTTAGTTATGGGTCTAGCAGGGGTGTTTACAGTTGACTTCTACTACTTATTAGATAGTAGATACTAAGGATTCTGCAAATCTAAATATATCATCTGTGAGAGTTATTATGCAGGAAAATTAAATTAGTTTTGAGGACTTCACAGTCTGAAGGTTTGGTTTATCGATATCCCTATCTATTTGTATCTGCGGGTAAAGATTATCTATCTCCTGCGAGAATCAGGTAATGAATGTCACATATTAGGGAGGAGAGATTGCGGAAAGATAGCTAGATCGGATATATTACGAAATTATCAATAATGACTGATAATCAGAAACACATATTCATATGAAAGGGATACCGATCATGTCGCACGGTCCCATACAATAGAATAGTAAACACCCTTCTGCCTCCCCCCTGGGATATTAACCCCTAAGGGTCATGAAGACCGGTGTACCTTGAGGGACTTAGCGTTGTAGTCGTACCACCAGCGACATGAAGGGGAGGGGGGGAACTCGTGACCAAGGCCGAGAAAGAGACTATAAGATGAGTATTTCAATGTTCTTAACCACTTCAGTCATATGCAGGACCACCGGTGGGTGCTCGGGCTGGTCATTGCTCCTGGATCTACACAGGACTCCGCTTGTTCTGGTAAATGGGGACCGTTCGAGAGGATGGATTATGCGCGCGACCTTGGGGGCAGCGACACGGTGCTATTACTGTAGATGTGAAAGTGGTTGACCAGGGATAATACCACTGCGAAAAATCTAGGACTGTGTAGCAAGAGAGTCACCAGGTAGATCTTCAGTCAGAAGGGGGTCAGGTTGTCGGATGCTGAATTCGGTGGCAAACCCCGAGAGGCAGAGAAGAACACCGAAGGGAATTGGTCATCATGGTGGTAAGGGCGCAAAAAGACACGGCCAAATATCGCTCATTAATTGTCAGTTCCGTGATGGACCAAGTTGATATATATAATTTCCGGGCGAGAGAAGGACCTGGAGTAGATCCCTTTTTTTAGTAAATCCGAGAAGGAGGGAGAAGACAGAGAGGGAGGGAGGGAGTAAGAGAGAGGCAAAAGGGTGGCGGGCCAAAAAGCCTGGAGGACGAAACCGCCTGACACGGCCAGCGGTGGTCTCTCTGTCTCTCTCTCTCCGCTTTCGCTTTTCCAGTCCGACCATCTCTCCTCCTCCTCTCCTCCTTTCGATTCTCAACTTCCCCCTCGGTCGCCATTTTCATTAACCCTTCGCCTTAACCCCAAGTGCCTTTTCGCGGCATCATCCAATTTAATCTGGCGTATTCCCGCAGTCTTTCCCTCGCCTAATCTCAGTCCCTGCGTCTCGCTCCCCCGTCTTTCGTCGACGCCTACTCTCCTTCCGTGATTCATCGTGGCCGCCAGGCTCTGACGGACCGGGTCTTGGCCTGAACAATCCTCTCTCCCCTTTCACGCCGCTCGTCTATCGTTCTACGATCTCCTGTCCATCCTTCCCGTCCATCAGCCTGCTCAACAGCACCCTCTCGTTGTTCACCTATTGTATATCTGACTCAGACTTGATGACGGGATTATAATCGATACGGATTTCGCCTCAGACTCAATTCTCCTCCTTTCCTCGTTTCTTCGCCCGGTCACGTTCCTACCGTCGATCTTCCCATCTCACCATAGGGGCTGAACTACATCGCCCTTGATCGAGACATCACATCCTCCTCTTCATCCGACCGGTCTTCATCCCGTGTCACATAGCCATCCTCTCGCCCACCATGCGGGAGGTCAACTTCAGCATCCCAAATGTCAACAAGGCCTCTGTAAATATCACAACCACCCTCTACGACCGGCGTGCCTTGGATTGCACATCAACGCTACCACTCATCAACTCCCTCAACCATTTGGCCTATCTCACCACATCATCAGCCCGTATCCGCGATATTCTGACCGTCGATGGCGGCATCGAACGGCTGGTATGTATCCTCAAGGAGGGTCGGAGTCGGGATTTGATGGAGATGTGGAAGTGGAGCCTCGCCTTCCAATGTGTTGTCAATATTGGTGTGCGGGGCTCGGAGAGCGTGAGGACTCGAGTCGTCGAAGCCGATATGGTGCCCGTGATTGCCACCATCCTTGATAACTATATTAAAGTGGTCGAGAAAGCCCGCGCACGGGCGGATTCAGAAAATCAGAGACATTCATCACGACACCACTCCAAAGGTGCACCCATCACCAGCGACGCCCCTTCGCGTCCAGTGTATGTGGACCAATCGACGAACACCGAGCAACGTCCCTCTCGCCGCCAGGCGCCACCGCCTCACATTGAAATCCCCCCTTTCTACCAAGACAGCCATGCCTCGGATTCAAACGCCATGGACATCACATCGTCCCCTCGGGTGCCTGTGACCTCCCCTCCGGAACGGAGCACCTTTGGACAGGATGCCCACAACCTTAGATCCAATGATACCCGCTATGCCCATGCTGCTCACCGCTACCGGGTGATGCAGCCCCTTGCCACTGCCCTTCCTCCTATGGATGCAGCCGATGGCTTTGGCCTACGCCCCGTGCGCGACACAGAGAGGCTTCCCAGCATGCTACCTGGTTTCCAGAACGGCCTTGCGTCTCAGCCTGACTCCCCAACCACTCCCAGCGGTCCTGCGCAGCTGCGCAGCAACACCCAAGCCCCTTCCGCCCGACCACGGCCTACCCTGAGGCAACAGCAATCAGCCTCTGGTGAGTCTGATGATGGAAACGGCGAGGGCTCGACCCTGGGTGACGACCCGGGTTCTGGAGAGACCGCTGAGCCGATCGTTGGTATCCAAAACCGGATGGAGATCGACGATGACGGCGACAGGCAAACTGTGCTGGAGGGTGTTTCCAACACGCACGACTTGACTGTCAATGATACCTCTGAAAGCCAGGAAGCCGAGACATTTAACATCACTCACCGTTCTACTGTGGATGGCAGCATGATCAACAACGATGCAACGCGCACGAATGGGGCCTTGGGCCTCTCACCCACGCAAGCCCCCAATACTACCAACTCGCCTGCTGTTGTTCCCAGCCCATACTCACTGTATGTGCGTGACCGATCAACCACAGCGGTGCAGGGCGTCTTGACGACGATGCCCAAGGACGAAGATGTCCTTATGTCGCTTCAGTTACTCGCATATGTTTCCAAGTACTGCAACCTGCGCTCTTATTTCCAGCACTCCCACCTCGTCCCTAAGCTCAAGGTTGACCGTGAGCTCCAAATGTTGGAGGACGGCGTGTCGCCCATCGAACCTCCGGAGGAGGAAGATGAATACCTGCTCCCGGACGATGTCAACATCTTCCCCTTGGTGGAGAAATTCACGGTTCGCCACCACTCCAAGGACATGCAATACTGGGCATGTGTGGTGATGCGGAATCTCTGCCGCAAGGACGAGTCGCGAGGCGGCATCCGGCAGTGCGCATACTATAAGTGTGGCAAGTGGGAGGAATTCCAGCGACAATTTGCCAAGTGCCGGCGCTGCCGTCGCACCAAGTACTGCAGCAAAGACTGCCAGAAGGCAGCGTGGGTGTACCATCGTCACTGGTGCCACACCACGCCATGATATGAACGCATGAAACTGTTTAATACCTCTAATGCATATCGGCTTGCATAGCGTCGTATCTGTCATCTGTTACCATTTCGTCATTCCGTTTCGTTTCCGAGGGTTTCACGTCTACCCGTGCATGGCATTTCAAAACCTGGCGGCGTTGCTCTTCATCCCAAAGATACCTCTTGTATGTCGTCGAATTTTATTTCATCATCATATTTTGATTTCTCACCTGTTTGATTAACGCGGGGCATAAAGCCTGATTCCCGGTCATATGGATTGATACTAGCGGTCATGAATGCGTGCACCTTTCTACCTTCTTCCTTGGATTGTTCTGTCTTCATCATCTTTTTTTCTCTCTTGTCACTGTTCGAGCCCCTAGTTCCTCCCCGTCCTGACGCCCAACGATTTTCCTTTGTGAGTAGCAGCCTATCTATCTAGCATTGTGAACCACCTCTCCCTCCAAACACAATCTTTCTGGAAGCGATTTCTTTGGGCATTGTGATTTACCTCTTATTGCTTGTTACTAAGAATCGGGCTGGGGCCGAGCCCGATCCGGTTTTAGTTGGGTTGTTGTGCATCTTTGGAACCTGTGCATACACGAGTGGCCTCCCTATGAATTGGACGGTGGCTATTGATCTAGTACTTATTCTGTTGACACTTCACCACCACCACCCTAGACCTTGAATAATCATCCTACTGTAATATTCATTCATCCTTCCCCTGCTTCTCCTCCCTCCGAAACCCATACGTAGCATCCAACCTCGCCATCAAATGTTCCTGCGCCGTCAACGCCCTCTTTCCCTCCTCCAACATCCCCGCCCCACCCCCAAACCCAACCCTGACCCCTCCTTCTCCCCCTTCCGTACTCTTACTCCTCCTAAACTCCTCCACAACCCTACTCGGCACAGGCACCAACTCCGTCCGATCCAACGGATGACAAAAATACACAATACTATAGCGGTCCTGCGCATTAGGCCTCTGCTGCTCCGACGTAGGGAACACCACCCTATGCACGGTACTCTTGAGTAATCCGTCCGTCCAGTAGCTGAGTAAATCTCCGATGTTGACGAGGATGGGTGGGAAGGGGAATTCCTCACCCCCCTTCCCTTCTTCGGAGGAGGAGGTGGTGCTGGTGGTGGGAATCACAGGAACAGGCGCCCACCCCTTCCCATCCGGCGTGAGGATCTCCAGCCCCGGTTGTCCGGGACGCTGGAACAACAGCGTGATGGAGCCGTAGTCGCTGTGGGCGCCGGCTCGGACGTCCGTCTTGTGGCTGTAGGTGGAGGTTAATGGGGAGGTTATGCTCGGGTAGAAGAGGTAGCGGAGGATGCTGCCTGTTGGGCCTGTGGTGGGGTCGTGCCGGGTGGTGAAGAATGTGGGGGGGATCTGGATTTATTTCATTTCATTCTTTTAGTGGGTGTTTGGTGATGTGAATATTGATGTTGGGAGGGAATGGGGGATGGGCTTACGCCGAGTCCCAAGGCTAGGAGGGTTAGGATCCGAGTACAGGTTTTGTTGCATAGGGAGGCGAAGTGAGCGATTTCGGACTCGTGCGGGGTTAGGGACGCTGGGAGGGGTTGTTGGGCTTTGTTGGATTGGGTGAATTCGCCGAAGTTGAAGGCTCTATTGATTGGTTTTAGAGTGATTAGTTGGTGGTTGTGGTGGTGGTCATGGGTATAGGTGGGTGGGTGATGTACTCTTTGAAGTCGCCGGTCTGCGAGTGGTTAGTGAGTGAGTATATGTTGATAGATGGGGGATTAGTTTGCTTACGCGTTGATGCTCAGGGTCCAGGGTCTCGGAGTGCATGCCGGACCAGCCGCGGTTCTGAGTAGGGTTGATTAGTTGTGATATCTAGATATTATATGTTAGAGTGTCGGGTGGAGTTTCACGAACGTTGGGTTCAATGCGACAAGCGGCCTTTTCCTCAACTGGGGAGGCGAAGAACTTCTTGGACTATAATTTGATACATTAGTATATATTTCTTATAGTGTATTGGGATATGTACCAGCTCAAATGCACGATCCACCTCCGCGGCCGTAAAGTCGGTCCCCCGGCTGTCGACATACAAAAAGCCATACTTGGTGGCAGCTGCCAGAAGGGCCTTCCCCGCCTCGGGATCGAGGGGGTTGGAGATGTCCAGCACGGGGAGGTCGATGGGAGGGCCAACGTCGGACATGTTGTTATGTCTTGACTGTATATAGATAGAATTAAGGTGATCAAGGAAGAGAGAGAAACTGCTGAAAGAAGGTGGAGATTATGACTTTATATTTAAATGGAAGCGATGTTGTTATCGGACAGCTGCAATACAGTTGAATGCGGGTCGAGCCGATGAGACAGTCATTGGCCCACCAAACCCTCAGGCTTCGGGTCCGCGGCCGTGGCTATCGGCTATCGATCGAATCGGGTCCAATGGCATGATTAAATGTCGGTGATTCGATTTGAAATGCGAATTCAGCTGTGGATTGCTGCGTTGTTGTATTATTAGGTAGTATGTTCTTGCCGAGGATGTGTTCTGCAGAGTTATGTAGGGTTCGGCTTTATACTGGCAGATATTGATTATGCTCCAACTAACAACGTTTGGGACTAGAAGTAACAAACGCTTCTATTTTCCTAGTAGTTGGTCAAAAAAGGATGATCAAATTTGTCTACAATGATACAAAGTGAGTGCAGTGAGAGGGTCTGAAGTATGACTCAATGTAGAGGGTAAGCCCCACTACTGTCTTGCAATTGCATAGCTACCATTCGGTTATGTGGACATAGAATTGAGATTTGTTTATCAGTGCTTTCTGTCATTCACATAAGTCATAAAATCCTCACCAGGCATCCTTCAAACTCCATTGATGGTGTACGACAATATCTACTAGCAGGAAGCCCTTCCATTTATACATGGATGTGCTTTTGACTCGTGATTGGCATCTGCATGCATCATGACTGCGGTCGATATATGTATGTCAGTCATGCCGGGAATAAGATGTTCAGTTGTATGCAAATATATATACTGGTACTAGTAGTATGCCGCAGAAACCATGCTCGCACTAACTATTACTACTAGTCGAAGAATAACACAAGAACCCCCACTACTACAGTCACACATAACATTCTAATACATTTCCTATTTCAAGAAAGAGGGTCCAAATAAAGTACTCGAAAACAAGTACCAGCAAACACCCGCCTATGCAATCCGCGGTACGTGACACATTTATACTTCAGAGACAAGTGCATTCACCAAGGACAGTTCCAAGGTGCAGTTACACCTAAACAATAAATTGTCTAATTTCATATCATACCAACCAGCACAGCAACTACCTCTATAATATAACAACTTCAAGACTGCCCAACAAATCTATACAACCACAACTATAACCACAACCACTGCCTCAGGCACACACACAGTCTAACGCCAAGCCCCTCTCGGTCCCCGTAAACGCATGGCACCATACCCAATCCGGCATCCAGCATCGCCATCCATCATACTAACCCATCTTATATCACCATCATTAAACTTACCTTACCTCCTATACTCATACTCATACTATACTCCCTCTCACTACCTTATATACAACACTCACCCTCCACCCTCTTCCACAAAATACCACTCACACACCTCCCATATCTAAATCGCAACCAACCCAACCAACCACCAAACCAACAAACCAAAAAGCAATCCAAAATGTCCGATCCCACCGCCGAAGCCGTCCCTCCCCCACCAACAACCTCAACCCAGGTACATCTTACCCCCTCCCTTCCTACCAATAACAAACCCACCTACACGATATAAACCGGTGCAGCAGCAGCTAACGGCCTTGATAATACCAGAACCCCGACGCACAAGGCCAATTCTCCGCCGCCGTGGACGATCTCCTCGACCAGCTACAACATAAATTCGATGGTGTTTCGAGGGAGATGTTTGGGAAGTGTACGCCATACACCCCCCCCTTTGTACCTGTCGATCTGTGGGAGTGATCGCAATGCTGATTATCATGGGTATTCTGTGTAGTGGACGATATGGCCAGACGGTTGGATGAGTTAGAGGCTTCGTTTACGGTTGTGGATGGGACGACGACTACGTCCGGGGGTGGTGGTGGTGGTGGTGGTGCTGCGTCGCAGACGGGGTCGGGGACGGGGACAGGGTCCGTGGTGGGGAGTGCGGCTGGGAGTGGGAGTCCTGAGAAGTGATTGATTACGGTTTATACTGTTTGGTAATGGGGTTATGGTGTTATGGGATTTGCTTCTTTGTGTATACTTGGGGGAGCTCTCTTTTGTTGTCTGTGAATTAGGGGGTGATACATACGGCTGGGTTGTGGTGGTTTGAGGTGGAATTGAAGATACCCTTACACTGATATTTACATTTACAATATACTACATGCACATAAGATGGATGATGTACTGTTCGCATCGATAACATTCTCGTAACTGCCTCTCGATATCATACAGAGTAATAGAAACTAGGTGACTGCCACCCAGCTAAACAAGTCATAATCCATACAATATCTACAGCTCATCCTTGGCCTCCTTCTCCTCACCAACAAACTTGCGAAGGATGTTGCTGCGGGAGATGAGGTCGTCGACCTTCTCAGGGGCCGATCCTCCCTTGGCCAGGATCTTCTCCAGACGAGCAAGCTCCTTGGTGGCGTACTCGGCGTTCTGGCTCAGCTTGTCGGCAACCTTGACATAATACTGAGCGTACTTGTCCTTCAACTCAGCAGCAGCCTTCTTGACCGCGGCGGCGAGATCAGCAGCGGAAGTGCTGGCAATCAGCTCGTCCAGACTGGCAATGGTACCGGCCTTGGTGTCGAGACCACCACCAACGGTACGGTGGGTGCCGGTCTTCTCGTTGAGGAAGTCAATGAAGGCCTGCTCGGAGCGGGCACCCTCGTAGGGAACAGATTCCGTGGAACCCTTGGGGAAGAACTTGATGGTGGGGTATCCGGACACGCCCTGCTCTCTGGCGGTGGCCTTGCCGTTCTCAGCGTCGGCATCGACCTTGGCGATCACAACGTTGGGCTCGAGGA